GACGGTTGGAGCAAGAGAGGATTAACAGCATCTTTCATGGGTGTGTCAGCATGTTTTTATCATCCACCTGGAGGCCAGGTTTACCATGCTCTGCTTAACCTACACCGAATGGAGCACCCACACACTGGGGAGGCCATTGCTCGCTGCATTGATGAGACATTGGAAGCATGGGGTATAGGAGAAGACAAGGTGCTGCTCATTGTAACAGATAACGGCTCCAACATAGTCAAAGCTGTGTGGCTGCTTAGAGATAGAAGCCAAGTACAAAATGAGGAGTGCACGGATGATTCACGGGCTCAGCCAGGAGGTGCCGAAGATGGTCTGGATGAACTGTGGCTCGAATCAGACTCGGAGGAGACAGACGAGGAGGATGAGGAGATTGGAGAGACTGGAGACCTCGGTGAGTGTGGTTATAGTGCCAAATACATTAGTCTTATTGATTTTTTTATTTGGATATAAAATGTAACAATGATATAACCAGTTTTGTAAGCTTTAATTGATATTAACCCCATAGAGTTCAAAAAAAGAGAGGAAAATAATTTACTTGCTCTCATTTACTCATTCCTTTTCAAAATCTAAAATGTCAATCCCAAGTGGTATACATCTGTTAAAACTAAAAATGTATAATTGTCACATTGACATCATAGTTTTTGTCATGTCATGATTGCATATCTAATATGGGGTTCATTATGAACATACAATATTAAATATGTTATCCTGTGGAAACAAATTTAGGGTGCTAACAGTGTAAGAAAAAATTAAATATCATAAAACAAGTAATGTTATCATCCCTGCTGTAAAACCAAGGGTTACTACAGACAAAGTCCTAATTCATAAATAATTATTTTTTAAACTGTACCATTCTTTTGTGTGTTTTACATTGATGAAAATAAATGATCTGTTTGTTTGTCTGTTCTCTCTTTGCTAAGAACTTGACCTGCCAGATGATGGAGAGAACAACAAGTTCCAGAGGATGCCATGCCTGGCCCACACCCTTCAGCTCACCCTGAAAGCTGTCATGAAGCACCCAAATGCTGATTCACTCATATCAAGAGCAAGAAAGCTGGTACACACTGTGAAGAAATCGTCAATGGCAAATGAAGCAATGATCAAAAAGTGTGGCAAAACTCTAGTCAGAGCTGGAGAACCTGGTCAAGCTGCTTGAGACCTTTGCCATTCACACAGACCAGCTTCAGAGTGACAGCCAGTCACTCTCACAAGTAGTGCCATGCCTGCTCAACCTTGAGGCACACCTGCTGATGACTACTGCTGCTGGGAAGCAGTTGCCATTCTTAGCCCTGATTCCCCACAGTTTGATGCTACACCAGCAGCAGCCTACCTACTGGATCCAAGTGTTTCACTGATTCTTCAAACACCAGACACGGTGCCACTGAGGAGGGCAGCACAGTCTTTAGTGCAGAACCTGGCAGCTCAGTATAACCCAGCAACTCCTTCTCAGGATAATGTCATTGCCACTCAAACTGTAGCACACTCCCCTCCACCCACCCACACACACACACACACACACACACACACACACACACGTTAGAGTGGATCCCATAAGGTTATATGTCAAAAGTTGTGACAATTGTGGAAAAATGTTAACAAGTTGTTGACGACTGGATGTTTCTACCAGTACCCTATACTGAACCAGTTCTTTTGCTGCCAAAGAACCAATGTTGGACAGAAGGCATTGTAAGGTTAACATAGGAAAGCTAAGCATCAAGCTGAGGTGGGGAAGTATATTATCAGCTGTCTGGCTCTGTGCACTACCAGATAGATGTGCACTTTAAGTGTTCAAAACATTCACTGTATTCACTTTATGATGTTAAATACAATACAACATGTGAGGTACTGTATTGTTAATCTATATTGCACTGATATGTCAAAAAACTGCACCTGCATCTAGTGCTGAGAAGCCTAGTTCTTAATTTATTTTTGAGTTGGTAATTTTGGTCAAAAAATGACTCAAACCTGTAGAGTGTATTGGGTTTTTGAGTTTGTTCATGTTATTCTCAGATTGGTTGGTTGCTCAACAGTAACTGAATAAATATTTTAAAATGGTATCTTTTATTGAGTTTTATTACAAAATACTTACTCTGATCTTTTTGAATCCTGCACCTGACAAATAATCCAAAGTATGAAAAAACTAAAACTAATAAAAACTAAACTAAAACTAAGCATTTAGGAAAAATGAAAACTAACAAAAACTAGCAAACCAGCCCTAAAAACTAATTAAAACTAACTGAATTAGAGAAAAAAAGTCAAAACAAAATAAAACTAAACTATAATGAAAAATCCAAAACTATTATAACCTTGGTATCGATTCCATACGTCTTTGCATCATCAGACTTGTACACAGCTGCCAGGAATTCAGACTTCAAACTGGACAGCAGTTTTGCCGGGAAACTCCTGATGGCAAAGTAGATGAGTCCAAGCTTGTGAATGCCTGTCTTTGTTCCTAGTGGATTTACAGTTTCACAGTCATCGTTGTAAAGTACAATGGGGAGTGTCAAGCCTTCTGAGAACAGGCTTTTGGCTTTGTACTGGTCACCATCCCTAAAATCCTGTAATCCATCTCCCTTACTCTGCTGCTTTTCTAAGACCGTTTCAATTGTGCCCGGAGATTTTCGTGAACAAGGGATGTAGAGGAATTCTCTGGAAAGTGTCCCTAACAGGGACTTGTTGGACCACACCTGACGATGGATGCCTTTTTTGAGTGTATGACACCCCAGGGAGTGGCTCTTCGACAGGATTAATGAAGCAACCTGATTCGACAAAGAATTTCATTTGTTTGTGTTCTATGTCTAAGGGGGACAGGGATATGTGTGTATGTGTGTGTGCGTGAGAGAGAGAGACAGGGATGAAGGAGTGTGTGTGTGTGGTAATGAGTTTCAGATCTACACATCACTGCTCTACTTACTTTACCATAGTAAAATCCTAACATTAAAGCCAACACCAAACCTGAAGATAAATCTGAAGTGACTTTCTGTGGGGTTTTGTGTCACGAGGCTATGTAAATTAAATGACAGGGAGCCCCAACACAAAGAGAGGAAAAAGACAGATTTACTATACCTTCAAATTTCGGGATGAGTTCTTCAAGGTTCCATGACCTGAGTCGCTCTTTCACATACTCATCCATGGAGTCTAGAATGAGACCAAAAAGACAGCAATCAATTATCAACATTACATTGACATTTATATCTCCATAAATGTTCAGATGAAACATATAGGCCAGGTTGCAACAACAACAGGGTTCAACGTTAAGGTTTTTTTTCACTTGACCTGCAAGTTGGTCAGAGATCTACTTGCCCAATATCAGTTTTTACTTGCCTCTATACAAATTGTTTAATTTAAGCGGCTATCAAATATCAACAAAGACTAACATTAATTTTTATGCTTAGTCTTAGTCTGGATGAATATATTTATAGGCTATAAGAAAAGGCCAATGTGACACTCCTTTTTTTTAGTTTTGACAATTATAAATGACTTACTGAAATCAAATTTTAATATAGGCTTGACGTCATGATGTAATTACAAATACATACATACAATGTATGTATGTATGCAATGCAATGACAGTTTTTTTGGCAGAGCGAGCTTCAGCAACAGAGAAATAGCTCTTGTTATTAGCAACTGCCTCGCTGTTATTTACACTCTATTCAGAAATGCCACTTACTTTAGCTTAGCGGTTAGCAATCCGCCAGTTATTTTAGCGAACTGCTACTTTCTTAGCTTTACAGTTAGCGATGGCTTCTCCCTCTCTGCTGCTGTCTCTTGCTCAGTGCGTCTTATGTTTAGCTATTCTTCTGCCTCTTTTATAAATGCAGTTCATGGCATCAGCTCAGCATCACAGAAAGCTATCGTTACATGCTGTGGTTAGCCAGCTTCCACTCCACATCACTCTGCACCCCCACAGCTCCACACGCTCTTGCCGGGTGTTATGTCGATTTCTCCTACCTATTGAAAAGTGCTTCTGCGCATGCGCATTGAGTGGGAGCATTATTTGAGTGGTATTGGTACCCCTGAAATATTGATTAAAAATGTTAAAATGACATATTTAAATATGCTGCCATTATTCATATAGTGACATTGGGGTGATTAGTATTATATGAATGCATTTAGTAGGTTACAGGGAGTACTATTAATAAGTATTATGCCTTTATTGACGAGAGTAGCAGTAGCAGCAGCAGCAGCGGCAGCGAGCTAGCAAGCTAACGTTTAACAAGCGTCAACATCAACTTTCTTTAGCACTTACCACTCTCACCGCAGCCAGCAAGCTGGACATTGGACTGCCAGACGTTGTCCTTTAATTCATTGTTTATAAAATCATCCCGTCTTTTATCAAAAAGGACGGGGTGCTGTGAAATTATCAACCTTTCTCCCATACTGTCCTGCCTGACTGGATTTTGGACTCTCCCGAGCCCTGTTCGAAACCTAGATAAGGGATTAAGCCGGGATATGTTGGTTATCCTGGCTAAATGTAGCGTTGATTCGGTTGTTCGAAAGCAGAGGCACATATGTTGCCATGGAGATTTATTCTGTGCACTTAGCCTGGTCCCGACCAGGCTAACAACCAGGCTTAGTTTAGCCTGGTGTCTTATCTGTCCAGTCAGCTGTCACTGTGATCAGAAATCAATGTGTTTTACCGTCATTTCATGTTCTTATTTACGTATTTGCCTCATTTTTGAACAAAATACATTAAGCCTACAATAAAAAAAGAGACATTAAACACTTAAAACATTCTTTTTGTCATAGCCTAATTATTCGTGTGATAATGTGTTTGTCTGTATATTTATGTTATATGTTCAATGTCCTTTATGTTGGAACCTGTTTCAATGAGCTGCACTGAAAACAAATTCCACCAGCCTGGCTGTGTGGTCATTAAAAGAATCAATCATTCAACAACCATAAGCATCGTCAGGTGTCTTCAATGAAGTCAGTGATGAGGGCAATACATAAAGCCCCATGCACATGACGTATGTGTTTCTTCCTTCACAATGGTGTGTCCGTTTTTGAATGAGGTTGCAGGACTAGATGAAGAAGCACTCATTGTGCGCAGAGCTTGTAGATGCGAGCGTGTGCTGCGGGACAGGTCGGACCCGTTGCTCCACCATGATGACCACCTGTATGAGCGGTACCGCTTTTCGGCGGATGGGATCCGCTACCTCTGCAGACTGCTGGGTCCGCACATCCAGCACCGCACAACACAGAGCCGTGCAATGACAGTCCCACAGATGGTCTGTGTCGCGCTCCACTTCTTTGCAAGTGGCATGTTCCTCTACTCTGTGAAAGATGCAGAGAACCTGGACAAAGGTGCCATTTGCTGTGCCATCCGGAGCGTGTATCTGGCACTAAAGTCCCAGATGCACGTCTTCATCACCTTCCCAGGCCACAGAAGGATGTGCTATATTAAGGAGGGATTCTACAAAATCGCAGGTATGAATTGATTACAAAAAGTGTTTGGCTACTTAACAGTAACAGTAGGATGGGCTACTCATTGTTATTCTTGTTACAGCTTTCCCTAATGTCATCGGTGCGCTGGACTACACTCACGTGAGAATCAAACGCCCCTCAGGTCCTCACAAAGGGGATTTTGTGAACAGGAAATCATTCCACAGCATCAATGTCCAGGTAAGAATGACCTATGATTACTGTCACTAAATAAAATTAAGTATGTGCATCAAATGACATTAATAGACTACATCTTATTGTTACAGATGATCTGTGATGCCGACTGCCTGTTCAGTAATGTGGAGGCAAAGTGGCCGGGCTCAGTCCATGACGCCCGTATCTGTCGGGCCTCTACAATTCACCAGCGCTTGTCACAAGGTAAGCCACATGATTGATAAGCACCTTGATCATTAAGAGTGTGTCAAAAGTGTTACTCTATAACAATTACATCTTGTGAATTCGATGGCATATTGCTGGATGACAAAGGGTATGGATGCCAGCCATTCCTCCTCACACCCTTCCCAGACCCCCAGACCATGGCACAGAGAGGCTACAATCTTGCCCATGCGAGAACCAGGGCAAGGATTGAGATGGCATTTGGCCTTCTCAAAGCAAGGTTCCAGTGCCTCCAACACCTGAGGGTCAGCCCAGACAGAGCCTGCGAGATCACCGTTGCCTGCACAGTCCTCCATAACATAGCCACGGCAGTGTTCCCGGACAATGTTAATGGCAGAGTGGTCAGAGACCAATAGCCAATTATTTCAGTTGATTTATTTTTGTTTGAAATAGCTGTTTTATTTCCTTGTTCTTGAAATAGCTGCCTTTATAGCAGCCTTTTTGTTTGAAATAGCTGCATTTATAGCATCTTTTTTTCATGCATTTTTATGTTTAATTTTTCTACAAAGTATAAAGCACTTGAGATAAAAGTGCTAAGCAGTGTGCAGCTGCTCTCACCCATTCTAACACACTTACACCAATGCCATCAGTAGCACACAGGGTGCATGTAATATTGGGAGCAATCTGGGGTTCAGCATCTTGCCCAAGCATACTTTGACATGGACATATCGTTACCAATAACAGGATTAATAGTTGGAATAAACATACAAGTAGGTGTATTTGGCGTTAATAACCACTAATTGTGTTTATTAGCTATCATAACTGTATGACTTTCCCAAATTATATTCCCAGTTAACTGAACCAATAACTCCAGTGTACTTTACAATCAATGAAAACAAGATGAAACCACAATATTCTTTGACTTCATTTCGTTTGAGAAAAATACTAAAATCAGTCACTGTCTAATGGGTTTGGACCGAATAGCAGCACAAAGACAGGCAGGTATCGTTGGTAACAAACTTTATTAGCACACATCCAGCAAACAATGGCAGTAGGCAAAACAGTCTGTCTTCTGGCCGCTGGCCTTTAACAGTCTTTAGTGGGGATTGGAGGTTAGGCTCAGCCGAACCAAACCAGGACACTGGTGAGTAATGTCCGTAAAACTCAGTCTTGTACTCACTCAGTGAAGGAATAATCAGAGTCACAGAATTGCAGGAAGCCACAGAGGAGACAGGAGTAACACTCACTCTGTAGAGCTGAATCAGGTAATCACCGGATAGCCAAGCGAGCAGACAGGCAAAACCCAGAAAGGGACAGGCAAGGATCGTGGTCGGGGACGGAAGGCTGAGGTGACTTCCAGGAGATCGGTAAGGCAGGATAGTCGGAGGCAAGCAGGGTCGTAACCGGGAGATCAGGCAGAGAAACGCTGGAGAATCTGGTGCAAGCATCGAGAACAATCTAGCAATGAATGAGTGTGGAGCAGGGGCTTAAATGCAGCCAGAGCAGAGCAGAGAGCACAGGTGAGAGGAGTTGGCTTGATGAGAGGGGTGTGTCTGATTGGCAGATTGAAGCAGGCAGGTGCAGAGTGGTGAGGCAGAGATGAACTGTGACACTGTCTGCTTTGAGCTGTGGAGAGAAAGAGAGAAATAATATTGATTAATACATTGCATCACAGTCATGCTTACAATGTGCATTAAAGTCACTTACTTCTTTCTGTAGTTTCTTAATTTCCAAGTCCAGTTTCCTTAAAGTATTTCTTTTGTCTGTCAAGCTCCACGTCCTGCAGCTTTCTCTTTTCACACTGGAGCTTAACATCTGCCAGTGCTATCTGCTCCCTCAGATGACTTGCTTTTAACTTAAGCGATTTATACGTTTTTATAAAAACAAAACATGAAAATAAAATCCTACTATAAGCAGCTATTTAATAAGAACTGCAAAACAGCAGCTATTTTAACAAAAGAAAAACCTCATTAAAAAGGCAGTTACTTTAACTACAAACGTGCTATAAAAGTATAGCAGTTATTAAATGCCAATCCGATCAGTCACTGTCTGATTGGAGCTGGGAAGAGAAAGAGAGAAATAACATTGATTAATACATTGCATCACAGTCATGCTTACAATGTGCATTAAAATCATTTACTTCTTTCTCTAGTTTTTTAATTTCTAAGTCCAACTTCCTTGAGGTCTTTCTTTTAATTTGTCTTTCAAGCTCCATGTCCTGCAGCCTCCTCTTCGCATATTGGAGCTTGACATCTGTCAGGGCTATTTGCTTCCTCAGATGAGCAGCATATAGCTGCCTGACAGTTTGTGAATTCTGTACAACACATATCTATTAGCACAGCAATTGTGGACACCATGGATGTCCTTCAGGCAATACTCACTACATTTCCAGGCAGGCTGTCAGGCTGTACATCTGTGTCCTGTTACAAATGTATTTTCTATGAGCACCACATCACTGACTTCTTATACATTAAGGGCTAAATTATCTCCACAAGACAGACAGGTTACCTCAAACCTTCTGGAGTCCAGAGACAGAGTCTCCTCCTCATCTGCTGCATCCCCTGCTGCAGATATGCCTTCACCCTGCCACATTAAATAGAATTTGTACTGACCTAATGTAAACTTGCAAGACATGTCAAGCAAAAGCCTCTAATGAATAAGACTCACTGGATCATCTTCCGGTGGCTCAAGGAGGGTCAGTGTGTCACCTGACACTGCAAGACAATCCAAAGTCAGACAGTCCACATAATACCAATGGTTGATTAATTAATGAATAAAATGATTGATCCCATGTACAGTATACTGTAATAACGTGCCTTGTATGAAGAGGGCGGTTTCTGTGGGTGGGACAGAGTCTGTAGCTGACCCCCCCTGTATCCCCTCCATCATTGGCCTGCCTCAGACACATGCGCCTTTTTCTTCACTGCTAAAATCAGTACAGACAATGCAATGTGTGAGCAACCACCTTCCAAATAATTCCTACACCTCATTTGTACATTGTTATCAGCAGTTTATTGAGGCACTTACCAGACTGCAAAATGTTCTTGTATTTTATCTTCACCTATTGCCAGGTGCGCATTTGGCCAGACTTTTTTGTGCTGTATGAACATTAAATGAGACAGATTACAGTTTATAAACAGCTGCGCAATGAATCACGAATCATCATGGTACATTTCCCGAGTAATATTATATCCACTGCTCACCTTTAAGGTGAAGTGTACAACTGTTAATTTGTCGAAGGAACTTTAACTGTAATTATGACAGATTCATTTGCACAGCAGGTGTATATTTTTAGATTACTTATGCATTCAGTCAGTCCGCAATTGTTTGCCACGCGCTTTCTCTCTGCTTTATTACCACTGCTGTGTTTCCTTTCTTGGTAATTATGTGTTTTACTTCTTCATAGGTGTCTATAATGAGACGCTGTTCAGTGGGTGAAAAATATGCGGCACGTGCCCCTCCATTGCTGCATTGGTGAATCTGTGATCGATCTCGGGGTCTATTTAAGGAAGCCGTGGACACGCACTTATCCGAATGAGTTACGCCTGGCTTGACAAAGCCGCTCCTCCTCAGCCTGGCTTGGTGTTCGAACAACCAATTAAGCCAGGATGGATTGAGGGGAATTTGTCCAGCCTCGCTTTACCACTTATCCTGGATTGGTGTTCGAACAACCAATTAAGCCAGGATGGATTTAGAGGAATTTGTCCAGCCTCACTTTCCCACTTATCCTGGATTGGTTAATTCCATTTTCGAACAACAGGCCCCTGGTCTGCGCGACTATAAACAAATAATTTCATTGGCCCAGCTGTGTAGTTCCACCGGCGAATTCCGCGGTGGGTCAAGGTCTGGGCAGAAACTTTTTTCACTGCACGAAAGTTCCGCCCCGGTGTGCAAACTTCCATAAGAACCCATGAAATCAACTTTTATATTTTTCCGCGAGAATAATCCGCGCGGATATTCACCCTCAGTGAGAATGGACTTTAATGCAGGGTTAACGTTTAAACCCGTTGCACCAAACCTAGTTAAACTCAGTTTACAATTTACATTAACGTTAACCCGACAAGCCTACAGTATCAGTAGTACTAGCTACATAGCTAGCTAGCTAGCTAGCTAGCTAGCGTTGTAGCCTAACAACAGACAACAGCTAACGTAAGCAATAGCCTAACACACAAGAAGCCGTGCTATATCGTGAACATTGGCACGAATGTATAACATTTAATATGAAATATAGCCACTTACTTCCAAGATCCAAGGATTGTTCCGAGAAGATCCAGGATTTGCCTTGCCCCTGTCTGCAATGCACAGCAGCGGGAACAATGACCCATTAAATGGGTATGGTGCAGCAGGAATGGGACCCAACGTTGTCGTTACCCAGTTTATGGTCAATGTTCGTGCCACAACCAAAAAAAAAAGCCCCACAGATATTTCACCCAAGACTCAATCTAGAAAATCCATTTGTAAAAAAAAACTGCTTTGTTTTAATGTAAATGTTTCATTGTTAATAAATGACAAATAAGAAGGATATGTTGCAAATCTTTTTTTTTTATTATTATATTGTTGAATATTGTCAGTGCCATTAAATTTATTTGTCCCTCGGGTAAGGAGTCATGATTTAATGACATTTTTAGAATTAAAATACATGATTTTTTCCCATTTAAATGTCATAATACAAAAGGAATATGTTATAGTTAGTCAGCAGACTACTTTAAAAATCTAAAAAAAAAAAAGTATTTATATTCCCTTGATTTCATGTCACTGGTGTTACCGTATTTAAAAACCACCACCTTGGAAAAACTACAACTTCCTTTCCAATTTCTTCTTGGTTCAAAGATTCATTGGAGGAGTGGCCATCTTTCAGGTGCAAGGTGAGTCTGCAGGTCCTCTTCACATTTTAACAATTTTGTGCTTTAGGTAGTTATTTTATGTGAGGACTTAAGATCCGTCACTGGTGTTATACAGTTCATAGTCAGGGGAAAGGGAATTTGATTACAATAACTAATGAAATTGCATGGTTATGTGATTTATTTACAATTTAAGAAATGTGATTTGACCTTGAGCGGCCACCATCTTAGATACGCCATCTTGTCTGCAGATTTGTCACTGGTGTTACTGTCACTGGTGTTGCTGTTCCAGTTAGTAACACCAGTGACATGAGGGTAACACCAGTGATAATACAGAACACTGTACTCACTTTTTTCCTTCCAAAAGTAACGTTCAAAGCATTTTATTGTTGTTTCAATATTGTTACCATATGGCTTTCCTTTTTATAGATATGGCAAAAAAACTGCCAATGATGAAAAGATCTTTTGGAATTTGCTACGGTATATGGAAGTACTTGGAGCAGCACCTGACTGTGTGGCACAAGCACACACACATCAGACATACTCATACCCTCCTAATGGTCCTATCCATATCA